AAAAAATGCAGACAGGCAGCTATTATCATTCATGTCATCGTAGCCACTCAGTCTCATTTATTATGCTACCTCCCAGTAAAACAAAATGGAACATGAATTATGTAATCCACTTGTTTTCTCCCTGCTAGTCAAATCGATGGGCAGCATCTATATGGGTTACATTAGGCTCGGCAGTAATGTGCTTGACAATAATCCAGACAGTGCGAGCCCTGCTCACATGAGAGCCAGTGAGGTTTATACCCCAGCTCCGTACTCAGCTGAAGCTTAGGCACTGCTTCCCAACTGTTGCAACTAGCTGATTAAATACAATTCCCTGCTGTGTGGAGGGTGAAATGGAGCCATGTAGCTAGAAGCATGAAGAGAGAAGCCAGTGACTGGTGTAGGATGTGGGATGCTGATGAGGTCTCCTGCTGTAATTGGTCTAGATAAATGCTTTAGGTAAATGGGTTAGGGCTAAATTGATTGCATTGCTGCTGTGGTGGAAAGAGGCTGCTGAATACTTAAGATCAGGGTCAGGAACATCCATCTGTTTGTCAGATGAAGGATTCTCCCTGTGACCAAGTCTGTAAAGTGAAGCTAAATGTAAATTCATGCTTTATACAATTTCTGCTATGATGTAAAGAGCCTGTGGTACGAACAGGCTGCTAAAAACATACTAATAACAAATGTTTGTAGAGTATTTAAATATGATAATTGGTTTAATTTTCAGGTGTTTATAATGACATGTAAACACAGTAATAATAGGCCTAGTATCTTAGTCGTGTTCTCATCTTCTGAGTTTTCTAATTATTTCATGTATAGACTCGTTTGTGGCTGTAATTCAGAAACCAGTCTCCTTTGAGTCTCTGGGCTTTGGGCACGTTGAGATTTGTTTCACAAATAGACGTAACAACTGTGACAGATTTTACAGCCTGATAAAGGATCCCTGTGATTTCACAACAGCTCAACAATAAACTGAACTGAACTACGAGAGAATTTTCATCATTAAATGTTAGTGTGTGTTTCTATTAACATGC